ACCTAGTGATCTTTGTATTTCTGATATAACGTGTTTATGATGAAAGCAGCAGTGGTATGCCCCTGACTATGATGTAATAAACTGTTATCTCAGTTAATATATTCTTACCATTCTTCCAAAAAAAATTGTTGTTCTTCTACACAATTTGGAGGGTTATGGGAGTTTGTATTTGTTTTGTTTCTCTTTGATTTCACATGCGTAAATCCTTCCGATGTGTCATCAGTTTCTTGATAAACACCAAAGTTACCACAAGCGAACGGAACTGTATTGGCATTTTCTTTGATTTGACCCTTAAAACTTGTCTGTCCAACCTCTTGACTCACACAAGAATCTTTATGTCCCTCAATATTAGAATTCTTGTTTGATTGAGACTACAAAGTAGGTAGATCCTGTGTCTGTAGTTTTCTCCGTTGGATCTTGAGTAACGTCTTGCTCACTGCCGATGCCTCTTCTTGCCTCAAGTTTATCTAAACAACTACTACCATTAAATTCAAAAATATTGGCAACTTATGATATTTCCTTAACACGAAGTATGTGTGTAATAGTCTATATTGTCATCGATTTAAGATCCTAAAATATTATTTTTCTTGCAAGAAAATAGGACAATGAGAATATATTATTGGGCATTAGCTTAGCTTTCGCACATGGCGCGCAAAGCAAGTAACAAAAATAATTCCTCAAAAAGAGGGTTATTATTTTCTTTCTATAAAATAATAAATCATATTTATGTTTCACGGTTTTATTTTACTAATAAAATTACTTAGGAAAAATGACATATATATTACTAATAGAGTTGTCCCGCACGAAAATATGGCTAGTTATGTTTTGGACAAAAATATAATTAGTCACTGTCTACGAGTAACTGGACAAGAGTGACTATAGTGTATTTTAGAACGACAAGTCACTGGTAGACGATGAATCACTAGGAAATGGTCACTGAATATGTCAATTTTTTTATTTTTTTTAAAATAAGTCATATTTATGTTTTTTAAATTTGATTTAGTAATATTCATGAAAAGACCAATTAATTAATAAAATTACATAAATTAATTAATAAAATAAAACAAATGTCATTCTATTATAAAACTTTGTCCATATTATAGCCCTAATCTAAGTTATTTATTTTTTATTTTACATAATTTCCATTTTTCCCATACGAGATATACTGCATGAGTGGCCATATCAGTTTTAGTTAGGGTTTTATCTGTTTTTGCTCCAGTTAATAAAATTAATAAAATAAAATTAATAAAATTATGTAATTAATAAAATTACATAAATTAATTAATAAAATAAAACAAATGTCATTCTATTATAAAACTTTGTCCATATTATAGCCCTAATCTAAGTTATTTATTTTTTATTTTACATAATTTCCATTTTTCCCATACGAGATATACTGCATGAGTGGCCATATCAGTTTTAGTTAGGGTTTTATCAGTTTTAGTTAGGGTTTTATCTGTTTTGGCCATATCAGTTTTAGTTAGGGTTTTATCTGTTTTTATTGGAGGAATGAAAATTAAAGAAAAATCATACGGAGTACTATGATTTGGTTCGTTTGAGTTTAGTTCAACTTGATTCAATTCAAATTTATTATTTTTAATAATATAATTAATTTTAAAATTTTCAAATCGGTTCAAACCTACTACTCACATCGTCCCTTAAAACTTTTTCAGCTTTTCTTTTTTTATTGTCCCACTCACTTCGTCAATTTCTTTTTTAAGTAAAGAATTTGGAAATAATGACGGAAGTATGATTAACGGGAGCTCAAAAGACAAATTTGTGAACATTTGATGATCCGGACAAAACGGAGACTAAATTTATTTGAATACCCTGATTTACCCCTGCTATATGTTCCAGTAAAACCTAACAATACAATTTCTCAAATTTGGAATCGTCGCACCATCTCTCGGTCATCTAGCTCGCCGCACCATCCCTGCCCCATCCAGTTGCCGCCACTCAGCTCTCACTTGATGTCGCTGCCGATCAGCTCCACTCACCGCCGCTCAGCTTGCACTTGCTGTCGCCTCAGCTTCCGCCGCCACCACCCAACTTCTACTCGCTGCCGCCTCAGCTTCCATCGTCGCCGTCTTGAGCGGTCACCAGGCCACCGTCTCCACCCTACCTTCGTCGCTATCTTGACCGTCACCACCGACTCATGTCCGGATCCGTCTTCAACTTAGGTCGTCATCGTTGTCGATGTCATTCAGGTAAGTTTTCTGTCTAATGTCTTTTCTTCTGCCTGAACAATCGAAGATTGACGATGAAGAATCTGATGGCGGTGACCGTGAGGGTTCAGATTTGTGATGAGATATTCTGGGCGATTTCGTGCAGCGCGCTGTCGGCAAAGGTCAATACAAAAATGGTTGAGGCTACCGACTGATGGCTATTGAGGTCGCCTTTGGAGTTTGGAATTGGAGTGGCTGGGGTGGGCTTATGGGGGTAGTGGCGCAGGGGTGAGCTGGCGGAGCAGGGGTTGGTTGTTGTGGGCTGGTGGGGCGAGGTCAATGGCTAGTCTAGCTTTAGATGGGAATTTTTGGTAGGGCTGGGGGCAGGACAGGTGGGGCATGGGGCATTGTTAGGCGGTTATAAGCGGCTGTATGCAGAATGGCCATTGGCAGTGGTAGCAATGGTCAAGACGACCATTGTCACTGACGGGGCAACGATGTCACTATCGGGTTGGTCACTGGGGTCAGGTGGTCACTGAAGTCAGGTGGTTACTGGGATCGGGATGTCACTGGAATTAGTGACTATGGTCATTGCCAAATAGGTCATTGTCATTAATCGGGTGTTGATCACTGTAATTTGGTGTTGGTCATTGTAATGGTCACTTAACGGAAGTCACTATATCAACTGGTCACTAAACGGAAGTCACTATAGGGTTGGTCACTATCACGGTGGCCGGCGGAAGTCACTATGACGGAGATCACTGTATGGTAGGTCACTGTGACAGACTAGGTCACTGTTTGACAAAGTCACTAGGGGTTAGGGGTAATTTAGTAAGTATAATGTTAATTAGTCATATTTTTGGAAATTTAAGAGAAAGTTAACTTTTTGGTCCATTTGCTAATTTTTAGTAATATTGGTGACCTAACCCCCCAATTTGTGGTTCCATTTAATTTTCTCTCCTTTGCATAACCTCCAATCACACAAGTTTTTACTTTATTAAATCCGTATTGATCAAATTTGGCAAAGTTTTAAGGAACAGATATATATCTTTTTCTCATATTCAATTTGATTCGATTAAATAGGATTTGAAAAAAGTGCTATCAATCAAACAGGACATGTGATATGATTTTCAATTTGTTTTAGGGGGAGTCCCCAAAAAAGATTTTGATTGATTTTAAAAGAATGTGGATTTAATGGAATTTCATAGATTCTACATAGATGTGATGGATTTTAATAGAATGTTATGGATTTCAATTGAATGGATTTATTTGGATTTTAATGGATTTTAGGCATAACCGTATAGCTGTTCGAGAGTTCTCTATGCTTCTTCTCTGATAATAATCCTCGAAGCCAACAAGTTGCAGCAAGTTGCAGCAAACTTCAATTTCATGGACATAGCAATTCAAGTTCCAGGGATCTATCTCTCCAGTGGTGCAATTCATAGGTGATGTCACCTTGACTATGGGCTCTCTCGACTGTCCTTCTGACCATCATGGAAAGATCTGTTCGTTGTAGACACCCCTAGAACTTTGGGATGGCCGGTGTCCCTCCATACGCCGGCGGACATGGAAATCTGGCTAACCAGGCCTCGATCCAGTCGTCGTTTCTATTCCACCCGTTTCCTCTTTGTTTCTTCTTGCTCGGATTTGAAATCCGAGGGGGCTAGACAAGATTTTGGATGAATTGTTTTGTGTGTATAATTCCACTTAAATCATTTAAAATCTATAACAATAGAAATCCATTGAAATCCATGGAATATTTGAGGACATCGATATTTTCGTAGACTCCATAGAAATCTAAATTGAGGACATCAAAATTTCGATGGAATTCTAAAATCCATTAAAATCCTCAAGAATCCAGGTTGAGGACACCTCCGTTAGTTTATTCGCGTATAATTCGCGTATAATACACTCAAACGTATAATTCGCGTATAATACTCTCGTTTATGAATTTTTCAAAAAATTATGAAAAATTCACGTACATTAAGGATAAAATGTATAATACACGTACCGTACGTATTGATACGTATTTGATTCACGAATAATACTCCCGTTTATGAATTTTTCAGAAAATTCTGAAAAACTCACGTACTTTAAGGATAAAATGTATAACACACGTACTGTATGTATTGATACGTATTTTATTCTTAAACACACACCATTAAACGGAAGTCTAATGGAGTGATACAACTGAAACGAAATGTCTAGCACTCTAGCTGCTCAATATTATTTATATTGCTTAAAAAACTTTATGCCTTATATGTTTGTTAATTGTTTAATAGTCATTACATTTAATAAATTAGCTTCTTAAATTCTTAATCCGTTTCGACATTACTATTGTATTACTATTGTATTACTTTTGTTCTCCACTCATACCAAGACTCCAAAGAGATCGAAAAATGTTGTGGTGGTTCACCAAACTCACGATCACAGTAATATCAACTATTCTTTGGTAATATCTTCGTACTTCTACTCAAATAGACAATGTCATTTTTATTACTTATTGTACCTATGCATTCAAATTTGTACTGATAACTCTTTATTTCTTTTATTAAATTAGTATATAAGACACATATTATATGTCGTATTTTAAAAATGTGAAACGTTTAAAACACGTTCGTATCTTTATATATTTCACGAACGTATGAAACATATATTAAGCCGTATTTTATATAATTGTAACATATTATACACGAACGTACGTATTATTGTATTATTCACGAACCGTATATTAGTAAAGACACCCCTTTAGTTCTATTTGATATGATTTGGTTCGATCAAACTGAACCAATATGCCCACGTGTATAATTGTTTTTCCAAACGTAACGGACGAGCGGTAAACTGCGCTGCAATCGATTCACAGCAGTTCTCTAACGTACGCACCACCTTCTCCAAATTGGATGCGCCTCCCCCACCGAAAGAGAACCACAATACCCACCATTTCCGCCCCACCGGGAACCCATTCCAACTTCATCCTCACTAACATGCGCCATCAGCTTCTCTCCTCCATAGCCATGGCAACTTCCTCTTCAATCTCTCTCTCTAAACCCCTTAGAAAACCCTCACACTCTGTCCGCGCAAACCCTAATGTAAACTCTTCAAACAATTGCCCCTCATCCGCCCTCCACCTCCCTTGCAAGCACTCTCCTTCCGCCACTCTTGACATTCTAATCCTCATTCTTGTCCTCTTCTCCGGAGCATTCTTGATCTCCTCCTACTTCTCCTATATCTCCCATTCCATCTCCCTCCTTGCCCCTTCATTCTCCCTCTCCGCCCTTCTTTCCCATCTCAGTTCCGTCGACATACACATCCATTACGTCCTCTTCAGCTTCTTCTTGGTCTTCTTTCTCGCGGCTGTGATTGCTTTCGAGATCTGCTGCGGCAACCGATCCCGGAAATGCGGCAAATCTGGCTGCCAGGGACTTCGGAAAGCGATGGAGTTTGACTTGCAGGTCCAGGACGAGGAGTGTTTGAAATCGGGGGATGGGAGTAAGGCTGTAAGAGAGATCGATGAGCTGCCTTGGAAAGGTGGCACCGAGACCAACCTGGATTACGAGTGTCTCCGTGCCGAGCTGAGAAAGATGGCGCCGCCAAATGGACGGGCTGTACTACTTTTCCGGGCTAAATGTGGATGCGCTATTGCCAAGCTCGAAGGTTGGGGTCCCAAGCGTGGGCGTCGCCACAAGAAGTGAGTCTTTTTCTTACTCGTTCAGCAATCGTTCTCATTCACTCCCTCTCTCCGTTGATTCCTAGAATGAAATTTTTGGAGTGAAAGCAGAATCATTAGTAAGAAGTAATGAAAACAAAATGTTCATTTTTCTCCATGAATTTTATACGATTCACTTGTGCTTCAACTCCTTGATGCTTTAGTTTTTTTGTTCATATTGCATTTTAGTTTATCTGTAATCAAGATTCTTCATGCATACATGCTTTAGCACAAAGAGACACAGCAGTTGAAGTTCTTGCTGTTGCCTACTTTCAATATTGTTTTGATTGCACGATTTGTGTTACTATGGCATAGTGTGCATTGCTCACTGATGTTCAGTCGAGGAGAGTGAGTTTAGCAGTATGAAATTATGATGAATAACTTTTTCTTTTGATGAGATTCAACTGAATTTTGAAATGAAAAACACAACTGTAAGGTGTTGGATTTCTGGTAGATGAGGAATTTCTATTGAATTGAAACTATATTCATTAGTGTAAGGTGCTAAGTAAGAAAAACAAATATCCACAATGTTTTGTTCAGAGTAAGTTTCTAAAACCTTTATGGGTAAAAAGTCGTGTCTAGATTATGTGCTTTTCCGTTGTGAATTAATATACTCAGTATAATTTTTAAAGCGGCATTTAACAAATGTGTATTCATAACTAAATTTATGTTGACTGTTTCATTCTTCCTTTATTCTCTCTATGACCTTGAAGGAAAACAATTGCTTTACAAGCTCTGTTGTTTCCTGCACTTTATTAGTCTATGGTATAATTATGACCTCACCAAAGACAATATCTCAAGCGCTCAATAGGTATTTGTTTCTCTTCACATACACACACACATGTGAAATTGTTGTTTGTAAGAATAGTTTAGAATCAATCAATTATTCATTATTCAATAGATATAATATATAATATCACTAACCTTTGGAAAATTACTTAATCATTGAAGCAGTTGACTAGTGAGGGGAAGTGATAATTGTGAAAATATAATTTCCAGAATGTGCATTCAGTTACTTTTTTAATCATTTGAAGGACTTGTTTTGAAAGAATGATGCTCAACTTTTGGTTATTCCTTGCATGAAATATGAAAATATAATAAACTATTTCTACCTCAACCCTTTTAGATTTTTAGGCTGCACCCTAGTACACTTGCTGGAAGCAAAAGACTTCTAGTTAGTTATTACAAGTTGCAGCTATGGTCAACTTTAGGGCGTACTCATTTTAAATTCTGAGTTACAAGTTGTAATTGTGAGTTCTAATTACAAGTTACACTTCATCATAACAGAATATCTTTCTGTACTTCAACATTACTTTTTATCCAAAAAAATGAACTAAGGAATATGAAACTCTAAGACAATATGTAATTAAGTTGATTTAGAATAGTTGCCCAAAAAAACTTTTGTGAAGGAGTGTTGTCTTAGTATTCTTTGGTTGATGTGAAGATTCACAGTAATTGTACTAAAACTTTATGCTGACGATTTGAGTTTCGCACCAGAATTTTGGCATAGCCTGGTCTGCCTGGACGATGTCCATAATTATCTTTGTACCAAGAAATTTTTCATGTAGTTGCCTAGATGATGGCCATAACTATCTTTCAAATGTGTCTAACACCCCTTTTAGGATTTATGATAAAGGGAATGTCACACTTAACTTACGATTAAAAAGAAACTGCAATGTAACGGCCGTTAATTAAACTGCCTGGAATGTCATACTAATTAAGTTTATTTCTTATTAGTGTATATATATATATATATATATATATATATATATATATATATATATATATACTGACTCTAAACAAATACGTCACTAATGCTTGTTATCACTGCCAAATGTGATAGCCACCAAGATTCTTGAATTTATCAAACTTCAAGTAACAAAAGAATTACTCCAAGGTCGTTCCCAGGTCTGGCCTTGCCTTTATTATCTTTGCATGCGAAGAAAGAAAAATTAGTAAGCTTTACGCTTAGAAAGTCACTATTTCCGTTAACTTTATGCTAATTTATTAATAAATTAAAGTAGGCTATAAGTCTTACCGCTCTTAACAAACAACTAACCCAAACAACTTCTTAAATAGAATGTGAAAGAGATCTCAAATAATTTTCTAAAAGATTTATACTGTTTTTTAGAAGAGATCTCAAATTGTGTAAAGACTTTTCATTTTTGGAAGAGATCTCAAATTGTGTAAAGACTTTTCATGTTTGGAAGAGATCTCATATGACTTTCTCAAAAACCTTCTGAAATACTTTCTAAAAGAGATCTTGATAACTTCTTCAGAGGGTTTCTAAAATTCTAGTTGGACAATTTTTAGAGGATGTGTTAATAACTTATTACTCCGTATATTACAACATGTTAATGTTATTGTACAAATAAACTGCACACGCACACATCATAATTTTTAAAGACTTAGCTAATTGGTTGCAACAATTACAGGTGAGTACTAGTGTTTGACAGTGTGATCACTGATATAGCTGTCTGCTTTTCAGCAAGTAATTGACATATTTATTTTGGCATGCTTTGTTTGAAAGATTTTTTTTGCATGCTTTTAAAATACACACTCCGTATATTTTAAAATACACATAATTTTATGATATTAAAAAAAGTTTGGTGTGGAGTTGAGTCTGATTCTTAGGTTACTAATTCATCCATTAATATGCATGGTTTTTCTTTCCTTGTCTTTGTTTCTAGGATTGTGGACATTTGTTCATTGTTAATTACTTAATTCTAAACTATTGATGATCTCCATTCAGGAGACGATAAATGAACTTGTACTAAGCCATTTATTAATCCACAGGATTTGAAATGATCTGTCTGACTTCAAACATGGATTTGTGGTTGTTTTCTCTAGTAGTTGTCGTATTCTAAGATTGGGAAGAGTTGTAACTTATAAACAACTATTAACTGTAAAAAGTACTTCGTAATCTGTAATGCAGATTTCTGCACTAAAACTGTCAATGTTAATTGGCTTTTGCCGTGATCTTTTGTGTGTGACTTCTACACCTCTAGTCTATTGCAGATTATGTGTTTTCAAGAGTATAATTCATAGTTGTTGGCATTTGGCACTACAGCATACTCAGTTTTTAAGTTTCTGTGATATGTTCCATCTGTGAAATGTGAGTACGGTTTAAGCAAATCATGAATGCTGCTGCATCTTATAGGTGTTTACTCTAGTTTAAGTAATTGAGGATTTGGGTGTTATGTTAATGTATTTGCTACCCCCATTATCCATAAAACTCATCTTTGTAAACTTTTGTCCCAAGACATAGAAGTCCAAATTGAACACAAAGTGTTAACTTTCATCATATTTAATTAATGTTTTTTTCAAGAAAATACGAAATGCAGTTAAACCAACAAGTAAACTTTAAATAGTTTAAAATATAGCCAAGTTGATGGTTGCCAGGTATTGTACTTCACTAAAACCAAAAGCCTGTGACTTGGTGAGACTTGCTTTTTTTCTTTTGTGGGTGATAGTTTGCTATATGGGATTCATGTTAGCTAATATATGGGGAGCACATTGAACTGAATATATCTTCGTTTTGCAATACCAATTTTTTTACTTGACATTACTTAGCCACAATCTCAACTTCTTTTGTGGGTGATAGTTTGCTATATGGGATTCGTGTTAGCTAATATGTGGAGCACATTGAACTGAATATATCTTCGTTTTGCAATACCAATTTGTTACTTGACATTACTTGGCCACAATCCCAATCATAGATGTTGCATGATATTTATTTATTGTACATGGAATTGTCAACAATGTTTGACGGACAATTGTGTTTTGTTGTGCATAGGAGCCTTGCTGTTAGCGGTAAAGATCATCGCTAGCTGCGGACTGCCATAGATGGATGCATCTCTTCTTGGAAGTTGTCGTTGCCTTGTAATTGTAGAACTCATACACCTTGTTGTTTCTCTAGGGTGGGGAAGGGCTTCTCCTCCTCCTCCTCCTCCTAATATGGTGCTTTTCATCTTCTAACTCTACCTAATGATAACTCCAAAAGTTTAAAAAATATACCCCTGTGACCCAGTCAGAGTATACTCATCATCATGATTCTTAAACCTTTTTCCATTTTATATTCTGATTTTTTTTGACGCAATATCTTGAAATATATTTGAAAATTACATGGCCAAAGCTCTTTTTTATTAGGCTGTCTGTGTTTTATACTATCGTTCTACAGTTCTTTTTTATGTTTTCTACAGTTCTTGCATAATGAGGCGAGAACTCTGGGACGCTTGTACTCGAACCTTTTAAAAATTGCTCAAATCAGGTTATTGGACGGTCAACAGGATTCAAGTTAATTTAAATGTGTGGGGACTCCGAATCTCCGATCGACATAACTGTCAAGTTAGCTAAAGAAAATCCGTTCAAAAACGAAAGGGGTATTTCATCATACTACAGTCTTAAAAGGAAAAATATGCATAACTGCCTAGCTTCACATAGAATGTGTTTAAAGCATCATACTACAATGTGCGTGATTTATATGTGGTATGAGAAAGATAGATACAAATTACAAAAGAATACATTTATGACGTTTCTTTTTCCTTCTTTTCAGGGTTTTATGTGTTTTTTGGGAAGTTTTTTCAACAATGTTCACATCTAAATATTGTGAACAAAAACGTATCAAATCAAACACATATAAGACCCTTCAAATAAGGAGAAACATATATTATTTTTTGAAAATCAAATAACTAATTTATTCATATCAAATGATACCAAAGAAACAAGTAAATGAATAGTCCAAGACTGTAGTCTAGTCTAACACTCTAAAAATGAATAGGATGAGACTTTGAACGTAACAAATCTAATGAATCTTTCCGGATCGTTAACTTGCAAAATGTAGTCTAGTCTAACACTCTAATAGTTTTGCTACATTTGCTACTTCAAATAAAAAGTATACAAAATAAAGATCTGGTCACCGGAAAGGGAGAACTGATTTGACCAGCAATGAACAAAGGAAACCCTACCGAGCTGAAATGATCTGAATCACCGATTTGGCTAGCCACTGAAAAGGAGATCCAATTGAGCGCTTTCTTTTCCTCGGAGTGAGGCGTGGTTCAGGTAGAGGGTGAATAATTGAAACCTCAGAACAACAAAGTTGAAAAAGTTTTGTCAACCATGAATAATGAAAACTCACCAGATCGAGAAAGACATCACACACTCACATGAAGCGGACAAAACTCTCGACCAAAGAAGACGTCAAACTGAAAGCTTCAATAGTAGAACTTAAAGCTGAACGCAAGATTAGAAAAATCTTTAACTTAATACTTCATGGAGAACATCTTCAATTTTCAAAACTCTTGCTGATCGAAGAAGAGAAGACTTGGAGGTGGTCGATGGCTGCCTAGGGTTTCCCCTAGTGCCGGCTGTCTAGCACGTTCAAAAATATATATTCTATTCATTAATTTTTGTGTGTCTATCTCTTTTGCATTAGGATACTTTAGTTACCATTCTTCAGTCTTCTTTCTGAACTGCTTACCGATGCAAGCTTCTCATTTCTCCTTCTGTAATGGTTGATTCTACATTCTAATGTATAGAGATAAATAATTGTTGCTGAAATTAAAATACTAGCTAAATAAAATAGACCTATTTGGTTTTAAAACTGAATTAATAACAGAAAATGTAAGTGTTTATAAAAGCATATGTTTTATTAGAAACAAAGTGAACTTTTTTATTATTAGAAACAATATAAACTTTGAATAATGAGAGGATAAATCTGATACAAGCATTTGATAAACGAAATAGTTAAACTGAAACGCTAATGCTATTACGGTTTCATCTCTTGATCGCAACAATTTTTCTATATGTGAATAAATTGTCTGAATTGATTGAATTCATGATGTTTTTACTGGGACTGTAACCCGTTTCATACTAGATCATACTAGACCAGATTAGATCAGACTAGACCAGACCAGACCAGACCAGATCAGAGTTGAATAGTTATAAAAATTCAAAGAAACCAGACATTACCAAATCAGACCAGACCAGATCAGACCAGTTCAAAATGATTGTATAAAACTATAAACATAGTTTGAATAGATTGTTTGAGTTGCTAGTGTACACATGCACAAAAGTTTTACCATTTGAGTTTATTTAGCCCATAAAAATGGTAAAACAACTTGGGCCTGAAATGCTAAAAGCGGGCATTTGCACGGGCCAGTCTATTTGATGCAAACGGCGGCGATATTTGCTTCCCTATCAAGTTCCGGTTTACCGTTTAATCAGGAACTGTTTGCCACCGTTTAATTTCTTGAAAAAGCTTTTGGAGAAGGGTTTTATTTTTTTTACTTTCTTTTCTTTCAAAAATGTTTTAGGTACACACTCCTCTTACACACTAATACAGACTATAAATACTATTTTTCCATTTACCATTTAACAACTAATTTTACCCCCCTTTTCTGTCCTCTCTCCTCCTAAGACCTTTCCCTTCCCTTCCGTCAGCTTCTTTCTCTTTTCTCCCCTTTCTTCTCTCCCATTTCTTTCTCTTTTCTTCATTATAAAGAGCACTCTCAATTCTTGGAGATTTGAATTGGCATAGAAATCTACGAGTGGCTACTGTTCCAAATTCCAATTGTGAATTTGCTTTTCTTCTCTCAAAACCTTGTTCATATGAGGTATTTATTCCATTTTTGTGCATTTAGGGTCACAAAAATTTCTGTTTATTCAGCTTTATATACTCCATCCGTCCCAATATAAAAGGCACACTTTCCTTTTCGGTCCGTCCCAATATAAAAGGCACATTTCCCTTTTTGGCAAACAAAACAGTGCAAAACAGTGCCAAACAGTGTTCAAACAGTGCCAAACAGTGTCAAACAGTGTTCAAACAGTGTTCACCCTTAAGAACTCCCCAAACGCAAATGTGCCTTTTATATTGGGACGGAGGGAGTATATAATATTACCTTCGTCCCAGTGGACTTTGCCAAGTGCAAAGTAGGTGAGAAATAAGAATAGTAAAAATTGTGTGGTTGAGATTTGTGCAGAGGAGAGAGAAATGTGCAGAACCACAAATTAGTTGCTTTAATAAAAAAGTGGCAAATTTTTTTGGGACAACCAAAAAGAGAAATTTGGCAAAGTCCAATGGGACGGAGGGAGTATATGTTATAACGTTTAATGCTTATTTACTTTGCTATATCCTTATAGATTTTTTTTTTGAAAATCAAATAACTTAATTATTATTGATAAGGGTAACCAGAAACATAACAATCAAAAGCCAAAGCATTACAATCACAGCGTTCAATGCTACACTAGGGTGAGACAAAGAACAAAAAAGCCATATAAAAGCTATTATGTTCGCTAACCCTGCAACTATGTAGACTCGTCCCGCAATTTGGCTGCTCGTGCTACTCGAAATAAGTCCGGTTTGACCAGCCACCGAAAAGGATTTGTTAAACTTGCGGATTTTTCCAACCACCAGTAAGGAGCCAAGTACAGAAATTGTCTCGGTTTCATCAGCCACCGGAAAGAAAGCAATCTATTCACTCCCATCTTCCTTGATCGGCGGTGGTTCAGGAGGGGGGCGATCAGCCTCTATATTGATACAGAAGAAATCTTGATTCATGATCAATAGAGAAGCCAATACACATCTCTTACTAACACCCAAGAACACCCGACCGATGATGGCGGGGAATATAAATCTGGTGAGCGACACTTCGCCACCGAAAATAATATCTCTAGACAACGCTAGGAAACAGACGTATACATACAACGGAAAAAATTGATCTAACAAAACTTTTTCCATGATTGGGATCAAAAGAAAATTGAACAAAGAGAGGAAAATGAGATGAGGCGGCTAGGGTTTCCTCTTCGCCGCTCCTCTCTCTAACCTGCTATATCCTTATAGATTTGTGATGTAAATATATAAATTTTTGTTCAACTATTATATTTCGCTTTTATGCTCATAAGGTGTTTGTTGAAATGTTTCAATGATTTTATTTATTCATATACACAATTTTGTGAGTTCATTCTACTTTTTTGTTAATATGTTTTTATGCTTGATGGATTATAAATGTTATTTTCTATTGGGTAAACTAACGGAAAAAGTGCAAATAAGCCCATTTATAGGAAGCTATGTCCGGTCGTCGCCATTTGGGGCGGTTCCTGGTAGAGTTTTTTTATGAATTTTTTTGTGCATCTTCTTCACCAAGTGTAGTTTACCCATACCAAATTTTAGCTAAAAATTTAACCGGGAAGGCAGCCAAATGATTTTCTGAATTATACTGCGTTGTTTAACTGCTCAGTTATCTTCAAACATTTATTTGACTGCCTTTTCAGTTGAACTTTTAGCTGAAATTTGGTATGGATAAACTAGACTTAATGAAGAAGACCGGACATAGCTTGACTTAAGATGCTAAAAAAAATTTCATCAAAATATTCCACCGGAAACCGACTCAAATGACGACGGCCGGACAAAGCTTCCTATAAAAGGGCTTATTTGCACTTTTTCGGTAAGTTCAGGGGCTTATTTGCCCCTTTTCCCTTTTCTATTTTTAAACATTAAAATGGGTTTAAGTGTAGTTTAAGTTGTTTGACTGTTTTATGATACTTTGTAAGTTTGTGTAATTTGTTTTTACAGTTTAATTTTGTTTGACTAATTTGTTATTATAATTTGTTTTTACTTTGTAAAGCGATAGGTGTGGAAGAATATTTGATTTGGTAATATGGCACCCCATTTTTCTAGTTAGCAATTGAGAAAACAACATGTTATATTAAGACTCCAATTGTTGTAATTGGTTTTCCTTGATGGATAATGCCAACAACTACTGGATTGTTAAAGCAGTTTTGGGTTGATCTGTAAAGCAAGGTGATTCAGGGGCTGTTTACTTTCAACTTAATGGTCTGAATGCATATAGTGACTTATTCGGTCAGGTATATACTTGTGTTTACTTGGGACTTAATTTAAAACAGCACTTATTCGCTCAGACAGTTTTCAACTTAATGATTCAGCGGAAATAATACACTCCTTATCGCTCAGACATACGTACGTATCCCTTATCTCTTTTTTAACCCTTATTTGGTTCATCGCTATCTTCTTCTTCGCGTAATTTCTCCTACGGCCGCCAACCTGCGCCTTTCATCTGCGGACAATCCATCTTTCTCACCGCCGCCAGCCTGTGCTTTTCACCTCCATCTCC